ATATGTATTGTATATATATATATATATATATATATATATAGGTGGTGGTGGTGTATATATATATATATATATATATATATATATATATATATATATAGCTAAAATACCCAAAATAAGTTGTATAAATTCACCACTGTACAAACTCTTAATACTAACAAGTTATTAGAAACTAACAAATACAACTCAAGTTTTGAATAAAACCACAATGCAGTCCTGTAAAACAAGTTTTTAACATAAACTCTGTTAACAATGTTTTAAAAGAGATGGAGTTTGTGAGAGAAATTTCAATAAAACCCAAACACTTTTTTTTTAAATTAAAAAACTATACAGAAATTTAACTGTAGTGAACAGAAGCACAAATAGTTCTTTGGTTGTACAAAGATGAATGAACAAGTTCTACAAACATTACTAACAATACAAGTTGTAAAACACTAAAGTAGGGAATGCTTTTCCCTTGGAATATTCAGAACTAATAACTATGCACAAAATATGAGTCTCGTATTGTTAATTAGAACTGTTAGTTCCAAAATGTACTAGAACCACATAGTGGTTAACCATGACATTATTATCTGAAAGCTTGAGAAACAAATGCAATGTTAACCATTTGGAGAGAATGCTTAGAAAGCTATTTAATGTGATAATAAATGGAAACTTCAATGCATCAGCTATAAGAGTTTAAATTAGAAGTTGAGTGCAAATAAATTACAATTTTGGAAACTTTAACACACTGTACTGAAATCATTAGGTAAACTGTAATAATAATAACTCTTAAGAAAGTCGGGAAACTAGCATGAATGAAACTATAACAAATTCCACACTACATAAATTCTCTAAAATCTGAGTGATCAAAGAGTTAAGTAACTATCCACGTTGGTTAGAGAATATATTTGTTGCACAATTCTCAACAATAGTTTTCAGTATGTAGTTACTTCAACATTACTGAATAAGATATGACTACATGTCCATAAACTTATAATTACCTATTAGTGTGTTTTGGTGAAGGGAAAAAGTACAATATTTTATGAACAAAAACTATGTTAAACAGAATGAGTTTTATAATTCAGATGTACTAAACCTAGCAAAAATGTTCAAGATCAGTACGAATTTCGAGGATATGCATAATGGTTTAAGTAGCCAGAACAGCTTTAGTCTATATCTATATATGATGCTTAAACAAAATACATATACAATTTCTACACACATCACTTATTGTTAAATATAACTTAATCTGAATCATTACAAAAACAAAGCCTTGATTTACTGCTTAATAAATACATAAAATCTAATTTCATCTTGTGACTACAGTTACCATGACCCTACCAATTTACTAGTCAAAATCTGCCTTCATTTTGGCACAGAATATGGTTTATTCTAGAATCAGAACATCAACCAACCTCCTGGTAGCAATGTAATTGCAGAAGCTATACTAGGCAAACCTATGTTATAAACCAAAACTTTTTTTTTCTGTTAATAAACTTATAAAAACCAAATAAGATGCATGCCATATGAAGTATTACAAATATCATTAAGTGTTAGGGCATAGAACAGCAAGAGCAGTGGATACAACATTGAATAGTAGCTTGTCTCTGATACTATATTACAAAAAAAATGGTCATAACTTAAACCACAGCATACTTTAATGACCCAAGAGAAGT